GTTGAATTTCATCTGTCGTATTAATTACTCCGCTTGTGGAGGGAGCTTCAGAATCCACAGGAGCCTCAACATTCATCGTTTCACCTTCACCATCCGCATGATATCCACAGATTTCAGACTTAGGTGACACAGTCATGGTGTCAGCCTCAGAAAACGCGATTGAAGTGGTTGCAACTGAGTCAGAATCTGAAACGTAAGGCATATTGAGGATTGCGTTTTCACCATACATCATCCTGGCCGCTTCGTCATATGCTAAAGCAGCTTCATAAGCAGTGGGAAAGGTACCGAGCCAGAGCCTCTTCCCTCGATTGGGAGCTCGGATTTCAGCCACCCATTTACCCCAAGTCCTCTGCCTAACACCTCGGTAGTTACAGCCTTGATTCTGAGGCCCTCCTTTCCCTCTCATACACCCCTTTTTCGAACCCTTGGCAGGAGCTTTACGCTGTTGCTTGGCCTCGTCGTTTTGACTCCAGAGCTTGAGGATGTCAGCAACTGACAAGCCATTACGTCTCTTCCTTTTTCTAGAAGAATCCATTGACAGAGTTGGACCCACCTTAGGATTTTGATCACCAACAAAAACCATCTTTTAATTTCTCAAAATTTATATCAACAGCGCAGAATTTCAGTCTCAATGCAGTAAAAAAGCCTCTGGAAGCAAGGGTTTTGCGAAACCCTCTTGAATTAAAAACTAGCCGTTCAGTACAGAGTAATTCAGACGACTTCAAACCCCAAGAATCTGCAGTTCAATTAAGGCGAAAATGTAAATATCAACTCAAAATATAGCGTTAACAGACAGCAACAAAGCAAAAATCCCACCAAGTAAACCCTTTTTTCCCTCTAACTGTTTCTTGAATAAAAAGTAACAGATAAAATAAAAATCGGAAATTACTTCCCACAAGGAAGCTCAAAATGCCCCAAAGAAATTTAGTAAAGTAAGAAAATGAAAAACCCAAAATCCACCCCCAACCCCAAAAAGACAAAAAAGACAAAAGGAAAGGAAATAATGAACTGAAAACTAACCTGTCAAACTAACCAGAGGAATCGAGGAACTTCCTTCTTCACCGTTATTTATCACTTGTTCTAAATAGGGTTTTACTTATTTTCCTCAAAAAACCAAAGAAAAATAAAAGAAACTGCGAAACCTTCACGTTGGGTTTTTCTCTGAGAGCACTCTGTTTTGAGCTTTCCAATGGTTAGAGCAGAGCAATAAGACTTCTGCGCGAGGGAAGGGTGGAAAGCATATTTATATATTTCTGCTCTGATATTTTGGCGAGTATATGACGTGGCAGAGTTTTAGTTGGGCGTTTGATGGTTCGTCACATGGAGACAGCAAGCACGTGTCACCCGAACCTTCCCGAGCCTACTTTGGTGATTCTAGTTTCCTTGGTATTCAAGAATTCCCGTTTACGGCTGGTTTACTTTTCAACTGCCACGTTGTTCACCAAGTTGTGGTTTTGCCACTGGATAGGCTTCCTAACGCTTTATGGATCTGGACCTTGTTCATTATCAAAGAAAACCAACTAGAATATGGCCCAAACAAACAGTCCTAAAGCCCTAATAATTCTATAGATCGCATCATAAGAGACCAAAATTTTGAAAAAAAAATATAGAAAAATTTAGTAATAATACGTGTTATTTATCGACTAGGGAAGAAAATTTATAAAATAATTAATTGTTTGTCATAATATATATAAAAAATTTATTTAAAAAAATTTAAATAAATCTTTTTTAATTATATTGAATCAAGTTTTTATATTTTGATTATAAATCAAATAAATTCTTATAATTAAAGATACATCACTTTCCGTTAACTAAAATGACACGTGATTTTGATGTAACATGTTTAATATGTAATTAATGACGTGATATATGATGTAATATGATCATATCAGCAACGCAATATAAACATTAAATGATAAATGATATTTTAATTAATGATAATTAATTATCAATTATTCAACCGTCAATTATAAATACTCATTTAATTCAAAATAAAAATACAATAATTTAATTAAACACAAAAAATAATTCATAAAAGCTTTTAAATATTATATCAAAAATGTTCAATCTACGTATCATTCTCTGATACGAGCTCAAGTGAACCCATTATAACAAATTAATGAGTTTATGGTTCATTGTATCTTTGGAAAATTCATGTGGTCTAGAGATTAAGTGTTCATTGAAATAAAATATCAGCAAAAACCCAATTATTTCTTCATTAACTATATTCATGAGGGTTAGTACTTTGGTTATAACTTAGAATGAATCATAGTGCTAGAAGTTATTAATAGTTTGAACATAAAGAAAAGTAATGCAACGAATGTAATTAATTGTTTGAATTTAAGCATAATATATGGGTAGCTACATATGCAACAAAGTCAATGAATAAATGCTCTTGTAGAAAATACTAACCACCACAACCAAATGACTTTTTTTAACAATAATCAAACCTTGCCCTTAAGTTACATGACTGATGCTGCCATGGCAATTATGGTTAATTAAAATCTTGTCACAAAACCATACCTTTTTTTTCTAGTAATAACCCTACGTGCCGACACTTCATTTCATTCTCCATGAAGTACGTAACCCTATCCCATAGATATCGATATGGACGTTCGATCCTTCAAATATAAGGAAAAACTTCAAAAAAAGAAGAATAAAAGAGATGGAATGTACTCGTGTCGAACGGATTCATTAATCTGAGACTCGGATCCAAATCCGAATAACATAGTAGGCAGCAAACTACACCATTGCACAAACAAAACTCACCCCAGCAACAAAAAGGGTAACTCAAACATGACAAGATGTGAAGCCAAGAGATGAGCACCAAAGGAAACTATTACTGTATCCACTGATAAACTCTCCTTTTCAAATAGGCAAACAACAGAGCCAGATTTTGGAAGGAAAGAAAAACACAGAACATCATCATCCAGAAGGATAATTAAATATTCCAGCTTTTCTCTTCCTGGTATCCGCAGAATCACAGGATTCGATTACTAGGAAAATAAAAGAGAAACCACAAAAGGAAAAATCTCTTCTAGTTTAATAGTAACATTCAGATCATATCAATAGAGGGTACAGAATTCCATCAGCATTTAAACATTTTAATTTGAGAAACAAGACAATATAAATTTAGCTAATAAGTAAATCTTTGAAACCATATGATTGAGTTTACCCAATTAGGTCTCAGCAACCATCCCTGTTGAACCAGAAATCATGAATAATTCACAATACACTATTTTTTAAGAGCACCATCACTGAATTCACAACTATGCCAACATCATAGCAAGTGCACTCTGATAACCCAATAATGACAAATCTGTGTAAAATCAAACACTAATATTCTCTATGAACCTCAGAGTATAGTAAAAGATCAATCATCTCATGCAATGCCCTTTTGCATACAGAACTAATTAAGTAATCAAAAGTTAAACAACAAGATTTTCCACCATAAGTGTGTGAAGGAAATTCTAACGTTATAGAAAAGCACTTGGGAGGCAACTCAACGATGAAACCTGAGCATAATTTCTTTATCCCATCTCCACAATTGCTTTGAAGGACACAACTAAAAGGTAAAACAGCGAGGTAAGAATAAGTGGAAAACTTAGACAACAGACATCTTATGCACTTTGAATTATTCATGCTTGTGTTTTCTCTTTGTAACCCATCCACCCCGCAAATTCTCTATCCTGTCTCCATGATTGTTTCAAAGAAAGAAATAACTACAAACTTCAAGAAGAGAGTGAATCTAAAATTTGACAGTTGACATCCTATGTGCTATTCATTATTCATGCTCATATTTCTCCTCGAAACCAGTCTTAACCTCATATTGTATTGTAAACTCATGAGTACTTTCAACTTACAGAGTGACTAGACAAGCCAGCATATTTCATAGCCTACAAATATCTCCATGCTATTTCACTTGAAGACGATTGACCTTACTAAGCTTAATTTAAGACATAATAAACAAATGTAGTCATTCAAAGACTGTTTGCCTGGCATCAGTCTTTTACAAAATTCTAGGATACTTTCAAAATGGAAAAAAGATATGACTTACGCGCATATAACTTATAACAGGTTCAAAACAAAAATCAGGACAAGAATGACTTACCAAATAAATCTATTGAATATTTCATGCAAAATAAGTTATAGAGACTTCTGGCCAAGAGACATAACAAGAAGAAAAGTATAATAATAACTTGGGAAAGAAATCAAGGACAGAACTTAAAGATATTATTTCAGAACCAACATTACAAAAACTGAACCTGGCTAGGAATTACTACCATGAGTATTCCCATAGTGTTCCTGCATTTTTTTCAAATGTTTTTTTTGAGCCTGCTTAATAATGCAGCCCACATCCTTGTTCCAGCGTGGATCGATTATCAAAGTTGTACCAGTAGATTTCAGAACGTAACATAGAAACCTGCATGAAAGATGTAATTTGACAGATCATTCCTTCTGTCAAAAAATTTACAATGCCAATTAAATAGGTCAATCCCAACACTTGGTGAGTAATTTAAGAAGAGAATAAAACCAAATAAACAGGCAGATCATGTTGGTAGCCTAGGCAGATCATGTTGCTAGCCTGCTACCTTATAATGTTATGCACCATGCTAGACAAAAATGCTCCCTGAGATTTAACAAGCAAACTTTCTCAACTTAGCTGATGCAATTAAGTTGTAGAACTTTGAGCCTGGAGAGGAGAGTAAAGGCATTCTGCAAGACATCCTTATAAAATATTAGAGCAAACATATAAAGGCAAGGATAAACCTTTTGAGGTGAGAAGCCCTCATCTTGGTCCTGAGGTTCTCAATGTTGAATGGTTTGAAAAGGAAAAGAGAAATTATATTGCAATACTGAATATTTCAAATTGTATAAAGAGCCACAAACAGATAAAGACTAAATATCAGATAGCTGCCAGTTAAGCTATTCTCTTCAACCTGACAAATTTTGGAATGAAGTTTAGGAACCAATGAGTCAAACTGATACATGCAGTTTAGGAAAGTATGCGATGCATTAAAGTCAGTCAAGAGGATTTCATTTCGAATGAAAGGTGAAAAGAGTAAGTTCAGAACTGTAAGGCATCCCATTCAAAGTTAAAATGGTATAAAAAAATTCTCTGAATTGTTTACAGGAGTTTTATTTGTAAACTTTGTATAATCTAATGTAAAATTTGCTAACAAGAAATATAGAATCTATGGTGAAGTATGAGTTTGAACATTTGCAAGAAGACGGGTGAGTTTGCTTAGAGTTTCATGAGCAGATATGGTATCTGGATGATCCTCACCAGAAATTGAAGTTCTAATAAAAATAGCTTTCCTAATTAGGTCATCTCCTATGTCAAATTGCCCCCCTCTTAGCATTAACTTAGCCCTTGTTTCTAGCACAGTGGCTCTTGATAATGCCAACTCCTGCCAAAGACACGGATTCAATTGAGCATTAGTTTGGATGGGCCTCCAACAAAGTGATTTGTCCAACCACTTCTCAACAGGGGTAACAAATGCTTGGTCTGCTGCCTCCAAAGCATTGGTGCATAGGCGGAGGAGTTCAAGAGCAGCACTGCACCTAGAGAATGTAATGAATGTCCGAATTGCAAGAGGCAAAACCACTTCTTTGACAAGGTATAACAGTTCTGACACCTTGAGCTCAACAACAGTAGGATCATTGCCAAATCCAAATAACAAGAAACATGCTGCCCATATATGTTCTGGGTGATGGAATAGTGACCCACGACTAATGACAGCGTGAACCATGGTATGTGCAACTCCGGTAACTCCTCTCTTCCGAGAGTAAACCTTGATGAGCTCATTGAAATGGACATAACCTTGCTTGGTACTACTTCTTGCAATGCTAAATCTCAACAACATGGAGGATGCTTCTGCTTCAGATCTCTTGGTATATGATGAAGAAAAACCACAAGTCAAGGAACGTAATAATTTTCTCCAGAAGTGGGTTCCTTTATGTCTCTCAGGTATCTTGTGAGCAGCTAAGGCTAACAGGGAAACTGGAATGGCAGCAGGTGCAAACCAACCACACACCTGGACCATTCTTGTTGCTAAGCTCCTTGGTCCGTCTGCATGATCAAAAATTGAAAAACATACCTCAAAGAGTTGCAGCAGGAAACTGTTTTTCCTCAATGAATGAGCTTCCCTACCACTCCATGAGAAGTCTCTCAAGGGCATCCTGTTGATGGTATCCAATAGCCTGCTTGGATTTATGGGTAGCTCAGATAGGATTGCACCTACAATTGCGAGGCCCAAAGTTAGCCTTCCAACTTTCTCCTCAATTACCCTGAGCACATCAATCTCTGCAATAGGGTAGTCTTTGACACTTCCCTGCATTAATGACATTGCCTCTACTCCAGACAAGTATGAGAGTTTCAAAGGTTCTAAATTCATCATACGTGGCAGTCGTGTAGATATCAGAATGTGGGTCTCTCCACCAAAACGGGGAAGAAGATCCATTACAAGCTTGCGATCCCACCAATCCTTTTCACTCTCTAAATTATCAATCACCACTAGAAAAGGTATGTTTCTCATAAGCTCTTTCCGGACTCTAGCAATGGCAGCCTCTTCCTGCTCTTCAAAGCTTTTCATCTTACTTTTTTCTATGCAATTTTCAACCCCTACATCTACCTCTAAAAATGACCAGAGGTTTAGATAATTCTGCCTAATGTACCTGCTTTCTCCTCCTATCCATAGAACCATCTTATACCTCTGGTGATACCTGTAGGCAAACTCCAGAAGAAGCTCTGTCTTCCCTATTCCTGAGTCCCCTGTTACACAGGCAATGCCCTTCCCATATACAATTTTTGCTGATCTCTTTCTCCGTGAATTCCGTCCACCACCTCTTGGTCTTTGATAGTGCTGCCTTTCAGTGCTTTGCATCTCAATCTCCTTTTCTGACTCCTTCCAAATGACGGGTTCTTTACCCTTCCGGCTGCCACTCTCCCACTGTCTTTCCCT